GTGGGAGGTAATTTGGTGACATGGAGGAGCAAGAAACAGAATGTAGTAGCTTTATCCAGTGCAGAAGCCGAGTTCAGAGGCATGACTAAAGGGATTTGTGAACTTCTTTGGTTAAGAAAGTTGCTTACTGAACTTGGGTATAAACCTACATCCACAATGAATCTCTTTTGTGACAACAAGGCTGCTATAGCCATTGCACAGAATCCAGTTCAGCATGATCGTACTAAACATGTTGAGGTGGATCGACACTTCATCAAACAGAAGCTTGAGGCTAAAGTGTTTCAGTTTCCTTTTGTGAAATCCGAGGATCAATTGGCGGATATTTTGACAAAGGCGATTTCCAGTAAAGCATTCCACAATTCACTGGATCAGTTGGGCATTGGCGACATCTATGCACCAACGTGAGGGGGAGTGTTGGCGTGACTTGTGGATATTGACTTACTTTCCTTACACACCAAGGATTCCTATTTTATTTGTAATTGATTTACTTTAATTCCTGATTTCCTACTGTAAATAGATTTAGGAATTTATTATTTACTTGCCCATTCAGGTTTTGTTGTATTATAAATATGACCTCCTACAAGGAGAAGAATACATAGAAAATTCCCACAAACAAATATTCTCTTATAGTTTTCATATTTTAGCAAACACGACGTTGTTTTGGACTAGGATAAAAAAAAAAAAAAAATCGTACTGCAAACCGAAAAGGAGTTCCTTTAGCAAGGGATATTTTGCTTGTTTTTTGGTCAAACAAGGAGACTTTGTTTTTTTTTTTTTTTTAAAGAAAAAGTCCCTCACGTCCCACCACCAATTCCTTATAAAAGATCAGAAAATTCATACCTCTTTTTACATCCTCATCACAATTTTTCCTTTTTTTTTTTTTTTTTTTTTTAAAAGAGAACTCCAAGTCTTTTATAAAAACTGATTCATTAATCAAGTCTTGTGCCAAGGAATAAAATTTTGTATCGATCAAGCTTTCAAAGTAAGTTCGAATGTAATTCATAGTTAATATAGAGAAAAAAAAACATGGTGTGTTTTATTTTTCTTTTTCAGCAATTGACGACAACAATTGTAGGTTGATTGTAATGTTATGTTGTTTATATGAATTATGAATTTCGATGGTATTATTTAAATTATAAGGATATTGGTTGTCAATTTTTTTTAAAACTTTTAGCTTTTTAAAATTACACCTCCGATGAAAATTTTCTAGGTCCCCCAGTGGTCATAAGCACTTCTAAAAGCCTTTGATTTTAAAAAAAAAAAAAAAAAAAAAACTTAAAAGTAATTTTGAGTTATAAAAATAATTTTGTGAAGAAGCACATGCTAGTAAATCGTTGTGAGCAGAATATATAATTTGAAAGGCAAGTGTAGATTAGATGAGCTGGAGAGTATTGGAAACAAAAGGAATTATTCTTGAAGGATTCAAGAGCAAGAGAGAATCGAGATGCGTTCTTCCCCACCGTGCTTCTCTTTTGAGAATATAGCTCTTTATATACAAGATCCCTTCTTACCTTAATGACAAAGAAAGAAATGCATGCAAACAAACAAATATATTCTACGTGTTCCATAAAGTAAATATACAAACCAGTTGAAAAATAAAGTGGATGGAGACCAAACCACACTTGGAAGCTGGAAAATGCTGGGATGATGAAATGAATATAAAGATGAGTTAGGGTCGAAACTGAGATGTGAGCTCTTTTTTTTTTTTTTTCTTTTTTTGACCTTTTTTTATTGAGAATGATGCAAAATTCATACACAACACGAATGCTAGAACACAAATCTAAAACCTTGCCGTAATTACTCCAAACCACTATATTAGTAGGTCATTTGCTGAGATATGAGCTCTTAAATATATCAAACATACAATTTGACAAAAAGATGTAAATATGAGTTAGGATTTTAGTAATGCTTTTAATTCGTCATAACCTAAAAGATCTAAGGCAAAAAGTCACTTTAATTTGACAAAAATTTGGGGATTGTTCTTGAATTGCTTGAAATTGAAACTACAAGTGCAAAATTGATCAGATTGAAACTATAAGGACCTTAGTGATAAAATTAGTAAACTATAAAGACCAAAAAGGCTTTATGTCAAGATTTAATTTAAGAAATCCAAGGGTTTCTTCACAAAAAAGAAAATAAAAAAATAAAAAAGAAATCCAAGGGTCTTTTGTCTTAATCCGGAGGTCTTCATCGTAGTTGGTTTTTTGACTTTTTAAGTCTTCCCGGCCCCAGTTGCCTTTTGGGTTTTCCAAAACTACTCTCTCCTCTGCTTTTTTTTTTTGGTTCAAATCTCTGCTTTCCTTAGTGAAAGAGGAAAAATTTCTTCTTGGCTAATGTAAATTCTGTGTCTGTGCTAAGACACAAAGGCTGAAAACGAAAGAGAACAGACACTGTAGTGATGGGTTGGGAAGCTTTTCTTCAGGTGTTAGCAAAACTCTTCTTGGGTGTTCTTTCCTGGTATGTTCAAATATCTTTTTTTTTTTTTTTTGGGGGCATATTCAATCTGTATTCTTTTATTTAGAAACTTTCAAGGGCAATTGCATTCTGTACATTTGTTATCTTTTTCATTTTGTTATTTCAGTTTTGCATGCACATAGTGGTAGATGGAAAAGTTTGACTATCTATCTTTACTTGTATGTATAATCAACTTATTTTGATGTGCAGGCCTTCATTTAATTTGGTTTATACCCTGTAAGTAACTTTTTTCCCTTTTTTTTTTTTTTTCAATTCTTAAATGCTGAATCTCTTTTTATGTATTTTTTTGTTTTTTTATTGTCAATTTATGAATACCATGGAACTGAGGAGGAGGATTCTATTTCTGGTTTCGAATTTTGGTTCAGGTATGCTTCCATTCAGGCTATAGAGAGTGACTCTCACTCCAGAAATCAGCAATGTCTTTCTTACTGGGTTATGTTTGCTTTGTACAAAATCTCAGAGGAAGCGCTTGGAAAACTTTTTTACTGGTAATTTTGGGTCTTTATAATAAAGGGTTCATCTTATTTCATTTCACATGCACGCTTCTTTTGTTCTTTAGGAGCTTGTTCTTATTTGGATATACTCATTTTTGTGTTAATTTTCTTATGGTACATATTCGGGTTTTTAAATGTTTTCATCACGGGGTTTGGGTATATGGACTATGCATGGTATATTTGATTACGAAACTAGACCTTCTAATTTCATGGAAGCGATTCCAAGGTAATTCTGTGTAAAATTGGTGATGCTTAGTGATTTTCAAGTTTGATCCTCCTTCCTGTGGTGATCTGGGGTTTCAAGTTCTGCTTTCTGTTTTGGTCCATAAAGATTTTACCTGGGAGTGGGAGCTCAGTCGTGTTATCATGATTTTGTTAAAATGAGGAAATCGTAAAGAGAACCACATTTGGGTTTCTGGTTACACATGGGCTCTGCCAAATCCTATGCATGAACTTGATTGATCAATTGTCTATGTATGCTTGCTCATATGTGGTAATTTGCTGACTCATTCCCATGCCATGTACACTTTCAATGACAGGCTTCCGGTGTGGCCCTACACAAAGGGTGCCATTACCATCTTGCTGGTGTTACCTTACTTTGGTGGTGCTTCTTATCTGTACAAACATTTTATTAGGCCCTATATTTCTGAGAATTCAGTTATATGGAAATGGAACATCCTGTCCATACAAAGGATAAATGGTTTCAGTTCAGGGGAGGATAACTATCCTGATGTAGTTGATAAAAACGTTATCAGGACCGAACCACAAAAGTCAGAGGGAGCTGTCATATTTAAGGTAAGCTTTCAAACTTATATTTGTGATGATTGTACACAAAAGCTTTTCGTGTCGCTTGTGCATGTGAGAACTTGATAATACTTGTGTGTCAATGCTTTGAATTCTTCATTTTTCTATTGGCTGCAAGAGATAATTAATCTGTTGCTTCTATAGTTTACATGTCAACTGCTTTGACTTCTCGACTGGCTGCATTTGAACCTTGGTATTCATTGCTATGATTTACTAGTTGAACAACCTTATTTATTGTATTGACTTAGGATTATGTACTAATGGAAGATTGAGTAAAGAAAATCAAATCCAACATGCTGATGTGTTTGTGAGGCCATCATACAAAAAGGGCCTCCCTTCTTTTTGCCCATTTGTTCCCAAAAAAGAAAGAAAAAACATAAACAATACTATCTTACTAATCTTTTATCTTAGGATCAATCATGTCCTATGCCCAGGTAGGCGTTTAATGAGGACTTTAATGCACCTTTATCTCAGGGAACACCTGCGTCAAGTTCTGAAACAGAAGGAAGGGAGTATACTTCGCCTAGTAGTCCAAAGAAAATTCAGAGGGAGTGGACCTGTGCTCTTTGTCTAATTAGCACTACAAGTGGAAAATGTTTGAAGAAACACCTCCGAGGGAAAAAACATAAGACCCAAGTAGAAGCACTAAGAACTTACAAACAAGGCCCCAATAGTGGATACGAATTGTCCCTAAAGCTGAAGAGAACAAATGGAATGATTTTTAATCTAAACCAAATGGCAAGAGCAAATGGAAAGATTTTTAATCTAAACCAAATGGCAAGAGCAAATGGGAAGATTTTTAATCTAAACCAAATTGCAAGAGCCAACCTGGAAAAATGGAGCGGCATTCTAAGCCCAGTTGCCAGACCAATTAGAACGTGTATATGGAAAAAGCCGGAGCTCGGATGGACAAAATTAAATACAGATGGATCTGTAGACCGAGAAAATGCTGGTTATGGTGGTCTACTTCGTGATTATAAGGGTGAGCCAATATGTGCTTTTGTCTCTAAAGCTCTAGGAGATGACATTTTTTTGGTTGAACTATGGGCTATATGGAGAGGCCTTGTTCTTGCCTTGAGTCTTGGGATTAAAGTAATATGGGTCGAGTCTGATTCAGAGAGCGTTGTGCAGACCATTAATAGGGACCGGCCTTACGGTCAAAAGGCTAGTAGCTGTTTGAAGCATATCTGGGAACTTCTAAAGAAATTCGACAAGCACCAGGTATCTCATTCATGGCGTGAAACTAACAGGGCTGCTGATCTTCTTTCAAAAATGGTTCTTTTGGGAAGTGATGTTGTTTTCTGGCCAGTGGATTTTCCTGATAGCCTTTGTAACATTATCAAGGAGGATGCCGAAGGCAGGATATATTTTAGATGTTGACTAGGGTTTATGCCCCTTAAAATCATGTTCCGGGAAAAATGAAGTAAATCTAATCTATATATATGATAGATGTGGAAGTAGTACAAATTGGACAACCTCAGGCCTGAATTTTTGTGGTAGATGAGGGGTTGCACATCATTTTTCCAATGGAATTTTGTAATTTATAACCCTGCTGATGTGAATAGAAAGCTTTGACATGTTAGTGGGAAAAATTTGCTGTCTGTTATGTGTCTTACTCTCTCTTGTACATTTCAAGATGTTTACAGGTATCATTGTTCCTACCTCCAACCTTATATCAGCTTTGCTGTTTTTCTAGATGTCTGATCCCTATTTTATTGAAGTTTATATTTATCACACTGGTTCCTTAAATTCCTAGTCCTCAGAGAATGCTGCACTTGAGATCAATCAGTCTTTGCATTACCTTGTATCAGGTTATTTCTAAAATCTCCGATGTGCACATCGGGTAGTCCTAACCAAGTTTTTGTGCCGGAAGACAAATATCTGACTACATTTTTATTGCTTGGAAATTGATCTGCCAAAGGCCTGTTACAGATTAAAATGGTCTTTCATAGAGCGAACTTTTATACAAACACCTTATCATGAGTTGTGTGAAGAGTAATTATGGTATTCTAAGATGGGATTTTAATAGAAGAATGTAAAGCAGATTTAAAAGTTGGATCACTCTTTACATTCACCAAACTTATTCTCACCTTCACAATTTTTCAGTGTCATGACAATAATTTAGCGAGCAAATTTGATGTGCCTACATGACAATTTGACATGAGCCTAAACCTTGTTGATACAAAAGCGGCTTGCAAAAGAATGGTACTCAAAATTTAATATTTTTCCGACAGGATACTATACTAGTATCTTTTTTTTAAAAAAAATTATTTTTAATTTTTTAAGTTTTTTTTTAATAGTATAAGTGATATCCTAAACTAGAGAGGGAGGGAGTTTCTCACACACATTACCGGATTCAAACCTAAGACCACTAAGTCCAAGCAATTTTCCATTGGGTTAGACTAGGGCTGGCACTTTAGACCGAAAAGCCAAAAATCGTAATTACAGACCGAGGTTGTACTTCATATTAACTGACCGCCATATACGGTTCCGATGACGGTTCTGCATATCCAATATTGTGGTATACCGCAAATCGCAAATATAATTTAATTAATTATTGATAGGATTTTTAGTACCTGCGCAAACAGGGTTAAAATCACTGAAAATACTTGCAAGAATACAAGGTAATTGTAGTATAAATGCTCATGCAAGGTCGTTGTCCCCAAAGATTGTTTGACTAATCTGTAATTAAACTAACTCTTAATTAATAACTAAAATAGATTTTATCAAAGATTTGAAGTTTATGAATTTGAAAAGATTAACTAACAGTAAAAGAAATCTGAAAGTTGGGAAATAATAACAGCAAAGAAGAAAAGCGATTTCTTTTTAAAGACTAAGAATTTAGAGAAAACTAGGGTTTAGCCAACACCATCGCAATCCTATGCAATTCTATCAATTACTTATGAATTTCCACATATATGCTTTGAAGGTTAGGTTTTCCTAATGCATATTTTCCTTGTGATGTTCAAGCGAAAACGTATATCTAACATGCAATCCGTCTGTGATGTTCAGATCAAATCTAAACATGCAAGACTCATTAAGTTTTGTGAAAACCCTTTGAAAAACCATGCAACCCTTAAGAGCGTGATGTTCGCCTTAAGTGAACTTACAATTACTAATCACAAGAAGCCCTCCTCAATTTCAGGGTGATGTTCCAACAGAAATTGCATCAAATTACTTGTCTACATATCCTAATGGTGATCAATCATTAAAATAGATAGATAGTTTTAAACACAGTGATTAATAATTCAAAGCAAACATGCATCCATTCATAAGCAAATTAATATATTCATG